GATGCCAAATCTTCAAATATTCCTCTAGAACCCAGCTATGGCAAAACTGAAAGTAAAAATGTTTTACTAAATAATGAAAAATATCAAAAGATGATTGGTAGTTTACTATATATTTCAGTGAATTCTAGACCTGATATTGCTGCGAGTGTATCTATTCTTGCAAGAAAAGTTAGTAAACCAACCATTGAAGATTGGACAGAGGTCAAAAGATTAGTGAAATATCTGAAAGGCACAAACAAATTGAAGCTGTTTCTAAGCAATACAGAAGTAGATGATAATGATTTTTATGGCTATGCGGATGCGAATTGGGCTGAAGATAGGCTGGAAAGAAAATCCAATAGTGGTTATCTATTCAAACTAAATGGAGGAGTTATAAGTTGGTCTTGTAGAAAACAAAACTGCGTAGCACTCTCTTCAACTGAATCAGAATTCATCGCTCTTTCAGAAGCTTGTCAAGAAGCCATTTGGATTCGTAGACTTTTTCTAGATCTTCTAGAAGAGATTAAACTTCCAATTACTATCTACGAAGATAACCAAAGCTGTTTGAAATTGGTGCAATCCGAGAAATTTAGTAACAGATCGAAACATATAGACACAAAATTTCATTTTGTGAAAGACTATATTGTCCAAGGAGTCATAGCATGCCAGTATTGTCCGACAGCTGATATGCTTGCTGATCTTCTTACTAAACCCCTTCCTGCGAAAAGAATCTGTATTCTTCGAGGGGATTGCGGCCTATGTTATTCCGAATGAGGAGGAGTGTTGAAATACATTCGTGAATAACCCTTTATTGTTAATTCTAGTCATTCTGTATATGAACTGTTTTTGAAGTTGTCATTATTGATTTGAAATAAAATAAAAAGGTCTTGTCAATATTCTCAATAAGTATTCATCGATACATCCCCGATAAGGAATTAAGTCCAACCCACTGCAGTTTCCAATAGAACACCCATTCCTACCTATTTCCCTTGGTTCTCACGATGTTCTCTGAACATTACAGGATATACGTTTTCGTGGGAACCAGAACAAGAAAAAAAAATTAAGGACCTATCTTCGAAAGGCTCTAGCGCCCTTAGGTTCGGACAAATGTTGATAGGAATATTTTTTCCCATTTTCATCTGAAAAATCACCTTCCGCAGTATTCGAACATTATTGTGGGACAACCTGTATATTATTATATTACATGAACTAATGTTGAAATTTTATGTTATGTGACATTATCAAAAAGTAATGGTCCTTCAAACAAGGTTAAATAATTGTGCCAAATGTTATCTTATCTTTATATATGTAGAATCTGGAGAATGAAAATTATTTACACATTTACTTTCATGAATTATTACTAAATGTTTTGAAATAAATCCGGAATTTTCTATTTCGAATTATTCCAAATCATCAACTATACACAGGTTTTATGAATAATATACAGGGTGTTCCATAACTGAATGTCAATATTTGGGAAGGCGATCTTTGGGCAGGGTGGTAAAGTTCTCAAAAATTGAGAGTTTTTTATTAATATCTGTAATAACACTTCAGATATTCTAATGAAATCTGGCATACATGTACTATGTATCAAGAGACATCAGTTTTCACATTTTTTTAATAATCAATTATAATGAGTAAGACTCAGGCTATAGTATACAATTTAATCATTTAATAGCAACTTGAACGTTTTCGGCACTAGGCCATCATCAGGAGAGTATCTGAAAAGTGAATTTTCCTTTTCAGATACTCTCCCGATGATGGTCTAGTGCCGAAAACGTTCGAGTTGCTATTAAATGATTAAATTGTATACTATAGCCTGAGTCTTACTCATTAATATTGATTATTATACTAAGTATACACAACCATTTCTCTAACCACATTTTTTTTTTGGTTGCCACCATTGTCGTATGAATGGAATTTCACATACCTATTTTGGCAGACATTGATGGTACGCCTCTGATTGATCTCGAAATTGAAATCATTCTTGAAATTCCCAATTATTTCTAAGCATTGATCATCACAATTTTTTCAATCTGATGCACGGTTTTCGCTTAAAAAAATTAAAAGCTTTTCACTACATTATTATAGCAATATCGTTAATATGACGATATCACAATGCAGAGAAATAGATTTTACTTTTTAGATCAAATTTCAGAAATACAATTCATAGTTTATGAACTTTGTATTCGAATTTGGTATTTTGGAATTATAACTTTTCATTGTAGTAGGCTATATTAATTTTTGAGAACTTTACCACCCTGTATCTCAAAAGTTAGGACGTTTTGGTCATACGTTCATATGAAACTTTCTTCTCAGAATGGGCCGAAGAATCGCTTCCTCTAATATTTGCATTCAATTATGAAACACCCTATATATTCGCATAAAATCATCTAATCAGACACCTAATTTTCATGATTAATCCGCACACATTGATTTTATTTATCATCATTATTGTATTTTCAAATATCCACTGTTCTTTTCTTCCGATCCATCAAAAGTGATTTGCTAATGAATCAAGTATATTGACAGTGAACAACACTAAATTCTTGAGAGTCACCTTGAACAAAAATGGTACTTCAATAGGGATCATTGAAGTCTACAAGTCACCCTCTATAGATTGTGAGAGTTTCATAACAGATGCTGAGCAAGTTCTGAGAAATAATTATAATTGTAATATAGAACTATTTGCAGGTAACATAAACATAAATATTTTAGAAAAAAAGGATAGGATAGTGGATGAATATCCAAATTGTTTGAGTGAAAAAGGTTATAGTTGTGTCATTGATAAAGCCACACGAGTGGAAAAAAACAGTGCTACATGCATTGATCACTATTTCATTAAATATAATAATATAAATGCTCTCCAAACCAATGCAATTATACTAAATAGTGGAATCTCTGACCATTTTCCAATACTACTAAATGTTAGATTATCAAAAATAATAGCCATCAAATCCCAGTAACAAACAAATATTATGAAAAACTTGACAATGATAAACTTGAAAGATCATTAGAAAATGAATCTTGGAATGAAGTAACAAATAGTAATGATGCGAATTCAAGCTCAGGAAAGTTCATCTCTATATTACAAAATCATATTAACAATGCCACTCAACTAGTTTATGTAAAATGCAGGAACAGAAAAATAAAGCCTTGGATTAGCATTAGAGAACGTGATAGACTGAAAAAGATTTCAACATTGAGTCACAATAATGCACAGGCATTACAGAAATATTTAAAATATAGGAAATATCTAACAAACTTGAGAAAATTATCCAAAGTGTCCTACTATAATAATTTATTCAATGAACATAAAGGTAATCCTAAAAAGACATGGGATACTATAAAAAAAGTTACAAATACTTACTCACCTAGACAATCGATAAACAGTATCTACAATGAAGTTGGACAAGAAATAAAGAACAACAAGAATATAGCAAATGAATTTAATAAGTTTTTCTGTGAAGTTGGTAAACATTTGGCAAACAAAATTGAACCTACTACAGAGAATAACTCTATAAATGAAAGACATATGAGAGCACCCAGAAATTCCTTATATCTAAACCCAATTCAAGACAATGAACTTATCACTATAATTAGTACCCTTGAAAATAATGCATCAAGTGGTCAAGATAAAATTGGCACGGAAATTTTAAAAAAATATCACAATTACCTGATGAAACCTCTATTACATCTGATTAATCTCACATTTAGTACAGGAATATTCCCAGAAAATTTTAAAACTGCAGTTATAGTTCCCTTACCTAAATCTGGTTCAAAGAAACTTATCAATAACTACAGACCCATAGCTCTGACAAGCAATGTAAGTAAAACATTGGAAAAATGCATAAAACTACGATTGAATAGCTTCCTAGAAAATAATAATCTGATCTCAAAAACTCAATTTGGATTCAGACAGAACTGTAACACAGAAGATGCACTTGAAGTAACAGAACACATTTCGAAAAGTTTGAACAATGACAAAAAATGTCTTGCAATCTTTCTGGACTTGGCCAAAGCCTTTGATACTGTGTCACACCACATTCTACTGAACAAACTGGAGCAAATAGGTATCAGAGGTATACCAAACGACCTTTTCAAATCATATCTAAACAACAGGCATCAACAAGTTAAAATACATGAATATCTCAGTGATCCTTGTTCGGAGTTAGGTCCAACGTTTTTCTTACGAGTGTTTTTGTTCATATTATTTTTGAAAAAAAAAAGGTTTTATCATAATGCTACAAAATGACATAAGACAGAATAGTTACATAGATCATTTAGTTAGTCTCAAATATCCTAATTTTCAACAATATAAAAATCGTGCAGAGCAGTACCTTTCCAGCACTAGTGCGGAAAAGTAAAAATCGCGCGGAAATGTAAAAATCGTGCGGAAAAGTAAAATCGTACGGAAATGTACAACTTTAAAAACGACTTTTCTGCACGCTCGTAGAAAAACGCCTTTTGTGCAACTCTGTGTTTTACACAAACAATATTGCACATGGGGACATATGCAGGCATGTCTTCAAAAAGAATAATATCCGAACTCTACCATCTATTCTCATATTCAAAACTATCCTTTATGTTGAAAACAACTCGCATAGGTTTTTGAAACATTCTGATTATCATAGATATTCTACCAGGAATGCTCATGATTTTGATATCACTAGGCACATTCTATCTCATACTGAAAAATCCCCGTACTATTTGGGAATCAAATTCTACAATCATTATAATGATAATTTATTGCACTTGAATTTACATATTAGGAACATATAACAAATACATTGGTTATATAGGTACACAAGCCAGTCACAGTTACCTCAAGAAAATAGAGAAATTAATCTAACCATCTTTTTATCTTATGTGTAAATCTTAATTTGTAACTATTGTGAATGTTATTCTGATCACCTTATGTGTAAATCATAATTTTAAATAATGTCTTGGCCTATGCTGCATACCTCAACTTTTTTCATACTGTCATACTGACGTGTATATCCATCTGTTTTTTTTTTCAGGAGGGCACCTAGTTCTGGATAAAGAGCTTTTCAGTTATACTAAGCCTGGACTCTCATCTTTTGCCAAAGAACCACAAAAGGTGAACATATTTAAAAAAGCTATCCTATACTAGCGTCACTAATATGGCGTTGCTTAGCATATTATTTGCTTCCCCCTATCATTGGATTCAAATTTGGGAAGCTCAAAGTGGAATTAATTTCATGAGTAATTTTATGGAACCATTTGTTCCAACTATATCAATAAGAGGAAACAATCGCGGGATGAGAGATAAGAGAGGTCATAAATATAATAGCTCCTTGGATACACACACCTTAGTAAGACAATTTAATGCATGTATGAAAAATTCCATAAGCCGCGTTTTGTCATTATGAGAGCGAAAAAAGTTTGCCCTAACCTTTTCAGCGACAATAACGGAACCTAACTTTTGAAAGCATGACAACCAGCCATAAAAAATGTTTGATGAATTAAATTGTCTTACCGAATTACACTCCAGCATTTTTTTTAGGCGAAGATGGGCGAAGTAAACTTGGCATTTTTATTTCGAATTTTGTTGCCATTGGGTATTTCAACTCAAAAAACTGCCATGAAAGATTACTCGTCCTACGGACTTGTAATTTTTTCAGAGGCAGTTTTTTTCGTTGAATTGCCAGGCAACAAAATTCTTATTGATACATGTCAAGTTTACTTCGACAAAAATAAAGCTCTCCTGTAATTATGAGTGAAAATTGTATGAAATCAATTATTTTTATATAACTAGCTTCGCTCGCGTCGCACCCTTGAATATATAGTAAGTTTTTCCGTCGGGTGCAAAAATGTGTAAATTGCGGGCATTAGATAACCGCGAACAGGCTACATATAGTTGACCGTGAGAGAAGCATGGCTTTTCTAAGTGCACCCCTGCCCTTGTGCTTTGTTCATATGGTAACAGCGAAGCTGAGCTTGACGGGAAACTCAACCCTCTTGAATTATTTTCGGTTTGTTATATTGCCATATTGGATCCGCCATCTCGAATTTACTAATCTTGAGGGAGGAATCATAGTCTCCGGATGAAAGAATCATAATCTCCGACCCCGAAAACCCTCATATACCAATTTTGAATAGAATCGGATCATATTGGTTCCGCCATCTTTGTATCAGCAAAAAACGAAAAAAATATTCAAGTTTAACGCCCTATATCTTTTTCCACAGCAATATTTTATCGGGGCATATTCGGTCATATCGCCATATCTTGGTCCAAACAATCTGTCCTTAGCGTATGTCCTGATAGTTATGACTCACCCTGTATACAGGGTGTTCCTTACATGCTAATATCTGAGGGGGTGATTCTCTGACTCATTTTAAGAAGATAACTTTTTATGAACGTATGTCCTGAAAGTCTTAACTTTTGAGATACAGATTGATGAAGTTTTGAAAAATATTCAGTATTTCAATGATAACTGAGACAATATTGTATACATCTTTTTGAAATTTGGTACGCGTCTTTTATGCATCAAGGTGCATTTTCTGATGTACAAAAATTTTCATTTCCTCTACCAGTGGCACCGTTACGGGAAAATTATTGTTTATATTTTACTGAAAAGTGAGCAACGACGAAAAATTTTCAAATTTCATACAATTCTATGAAAGGCTATATAATTATGTACAAAAAAGATCATCTTGTTGATACTCGATAGAACGCTCCGTTTTCGAGAAAAAAACGGAAAAACGAGACCCGACTTCATGATGTTTGAGTACTTCATTCAGAACATCCATTACTGGATAACCACCGTATGTAATATTTTTAAATTCGCATACCGATTCAGTCACATAGCAGACTGAATTTTGCCATCACGAAAAGCTATACGGGGTGGACAAAAAATAATCTATGCATATTTTCAACATTGACAACCTGTATCTCAAAAGTTAGGACGTTTACGACATATATTCATATGGAGTTTTATTCTTGATTCAGATGCTTTTCTGTTGAAGTCAACCTATGTGTTGGAAAAGTGAAATTACTGTTCCGAATGGGGTATCTGTTTTTATTACTTTGTGTGAAATTCATTTTATTTTTATACAGATGTATGACACATTCATAAATATACAGGGTGGCATTGAAATAAGTGCAAATATGTCAAACACTGAGGAAGCTCGACGTGTACTATCGAATGGCACTAATAAAAAAATGTAGGGATCAATATAAAATTTGAGGTTAGACCCCTTTTTCCACCCAAAGTTCTACACTGTAGCAAATCTGACGTCACCTCTGTAAAAATTTCAATGCGGTAGGCACAATCACGCGGAGTTCAATCATTTAAATTGTTTTAAAGTGGCGTACTTGATTTTTTTCTCGTATTTTTTCCGATTTTTCGGATGAAATTTCTCGTTAATTAGAAGTATTAGAAAAAATCTGATATCATCGGAATATTCCTTAGACTGTATCATATTAATGTGCTGAATATGTGCACTTATTTCAAAAACACCTTGTATAGAGCAAATATGGTCATTATCTTATTTGATCTGAAGGTACCTCTGCAAGTTTCAGCATATTTTATATTGTATAATGATCTTATAACTCTCTTCTGGATCTGGAATATTTCCTTAGTTTGACTGCTTCATCCCCAAAATATAATGGCCATGGATCAAATGACATGCTTCCGTACAATCACATTATCGTTTGTAGGGGGCGGCGACGATAGCCAACCTGCGGGAACAGAAGAAAGATGAGCTAAAATAAAGCTAATAACGCGGATATAAGGCCACAGATATATTGACGCGCGGATATAATGGCCATGGATCAAATAGATAGATAGATAGATATATTCATTTCTCAGAATCGGAAGAACAGTGGTATCAATATTACATTATAATTTAACAAAAGGTATTTCTGATTATCTAGCGTAAAGCATCGAGAAAGTCGAGCACGGTACATAAACAGTAAATTTTATGTGATATCTATCAATCTCGCTTTGAATCTCAGATTATTTAAAGATTTCATACTGGAGGGTAAGTGGTTATAACCTCTGATTCCTGAATACAGTAGTCCATTCCTGGATCTATTGTAGTTATAATTTGGCAAAATATAGTCTTGATTTGTATGTTTGTTTGATGGTCGTGTCAGTGTTGCTCGTTTTTTGTGTATTAACATAGTTATTTTAAATATATAAGTGTTCGTTAAGGTAAAAATCTTGTGGTCTCTGAAAAGAGTTCTGCAAGAGTCTCTATAGTTTGAACCAAATAATACTCCAATAGCTTTCTTTTGTATCACAAACACCTCTGCCGCGTATATAGATGTGCCCCAAAATTCTATACCATATTGCGTGATACTGCGAAAATAGGCAACGTACACTAATTTTGTGGTCGCGAGGTTGGTATTTCTCTTGATAGTACGCAGAGCGAAAATTGACCTACTCAATTTAGATTGAAGTGCAGAGGAATGATCCAGCCAGTTCAACTTGCAATCTATGTTTATTCCTAGGAATTTAGTTGAGTTCACAGAATCAATAGAGTTTTGATTGAGGTGAATAGTGACGTCATCGATATCTTTGTAGAGGCTGAATAGTATATTATTCGATTTAGAATAGTTGAGAGACAATTTATTCGATAGAAACCAGTCTGACACTCCCTCCATTATCCTTACTACCGTAACTAGTATACTATAGTGTCATCAGCAAACAGTGTGAAGGTAACTGAAGGAAAGTTACAAACAATGTCATTCACATAGATAAGAAATAATGTAGGGCCCAACACTGAACCTTGTGGGACTCCTGCCTGTATATGAGAATATTCTGAATCTTGGTTAGATACGTTTCCTGATATTTCATATTTCACTCTGACACACATCATTCGCCGCGATAGATATGATTTGAACCAATCTTTAGCGAGACCTCTGATTCCATAGTATTCTAGTTTATTTATAGAGAGGTCGCAAAATATTCCAAGTGGATACTGTTTTGATTCTAAAATTTCTTGAATTTTTTCTATCATTTGAAAAGTAGCATCCGTGGTATTCATATGTTTTTCCTAAATCCGAATTGTGAATCTGTGAGAATGTTTTGTGCGCTCAGATATGATATTATTCTTCTGTTCACAATCCATTCCAGTAATTTTGAGAAATTTGAAAGCAGTGAGATTCCGCGGTAATTATTTGTATCTGACTTTTCTCCCTTTTTGAAGAGCGGGATGATGATGGATTTCTTGTATGAATCTGGAAATAGCATGTTACCGTGCAATCGCATTATGATTAACGACTTATCAGATGCTATTTCCTTACAAAATGATCTGAATCTGTTGAAAAACTGGTGTTCAATAAATAAACTATCGCTCAATGTCAGCAAATGTAAGGTGATGACGTATTCACGGAAAAATAATCCTCTTATGTACCACTATGTCATCAATGATGAATCTCTAACACGAGTCACACAACACAAGGACCTGGGTGTCATATATGACTGCAAACTTGCCTTCTCAAGTCATTATGAAACAATGATCTCCAAAGCTATGAAATCCTTGGGTTTTTTAATTCGTACTTGTAGTGAGTTTAAATCATTAGAAGCACTTTGTCAATTATACTTTATTTTGGTTAGAAGTAAACTGGAATACTGCAGTCAGGTATGGAATCCGTACCACCAACAAACAATTTCTGCTATTGAAATGGTACAGCGTAAATTTCTGAAATACTTATTTTACAAAAAATATAAAGTCTATCCCGAAAGGAACTTTAATTATGACCTTCTGTTGAATGAGTTTAAGTTCCAATCGCTGAAGAAGAGGGGAGAAATAGGTGATTTACTTTTTGTTTATAAAATTATACACAATACTATAGACTCTTCAGTATTACTTTCGCAAATCGAGTTCAGTATACCCCGACTAGCCTCTCGGTATCAAAATACATTCCACATTAATGTGTCTAACACACAGCACCATTTTCATTCCCCAATCAATTCAATGTGCAGAAATTATAATAAACTTGGAACTGTAGATATATTTTTTCTCACCTCAAAACAATTTAAGCAAACCATTTCCAGTTTAGTTCCTAACTAAAATTTTAACTAACTTAGATTATACCTAATTGAAATCACACTCAACCATATGTATAGTAATCTCTATTATATGTATACTCCTGTAATTGGGCCTTGGCCTGCTGGATGTATTACAAATTGAATAAATAAATAAATGAATAAATGATTGTAGGGGGCGGCGACGATAGCCAACCTTCTGGAAGAGGCGAAAAATGAGATCCCCGAGGAGTATTGGCCCACGACGCCTCTCATCCTGAAGGCCACCGCCGGCCTGAGGATGCTGCCGAAGCCGGAACAGGCCGAGAGACTGCTCGATAGCGTCGGGCAGGTGTTCAGGAACACGCCCTTCTTGACGAGGGAAGATTCCATTGAGATCATGAACGGCACCGATGAAGGGATATTCTCTTGGTTCACTGTCAATTTCCTCTTAGGTGAGTTGATTGGGAGCATAGTGATAATAGGTGTTTTCGGAAACTTACTCTGGGTTGTTACCTCGACCCAGAGAGGTCACGTGACAAAAACTCGGATCACCTACTCGTCGAAAATTCCTTCTATTCCATCGAAGAATATGTGGAATGTGTGAAGAAAGGTATACTCACTGAATCACAGAAAATTAACTTCATTGATTCCTGATTTGTACCAATCTCATTTTTATCGACCTTTTTGCTGTTAGGAACAAATTTAATCTTTTTTCTGTAGTTTGAAATGTTCACATTATATTCAAGTACTTATTCGATAAGGTTGCAATACATATTTATATTTATCTGGTGATTGGTGAACTTGTCTCATGTGTTGCCATACATCACCTTCTTCGCTCATAAAACCACCAACTTCACACCTACCCAAATTCTCTTCTCTATGCATTACTACATCAAATTATGGAGATTAAAAAAAATTACCGATCGAAATTTTTTCCAACATGAAAACTGTTTATTATTATATTGTTATCGTGGAGTGATGAACTCCCACTTTTTTTTATTGACATACATTTTGTATAAATTGGTAATGCGCATGCGACTCTGGCGACCCTGCTTTTGAGTAGGTAGGGAACACTCAAGTTCCCGAACAGGGGTAGGTGACTCATGTTAGGTAACCAAACTTTCAGGTTAAAGATCCGATCACCCCGAGTAAGTTTCCGAAAACGACTATAGGGTGGGCTACATTTGATGGCTTTTGGAATTGATATAATGAATTATACTTCTAACTGGAATGCCTGTTTGATCGAGCTTGGGCGACGATTGTCGAAGCACATTATTTGAATAGCACGAATATGCCTTCACCAATAAAATTCTAGCTTACTACTGATCTGTTTGACCAAATCACTTTAGACATCAAGAAAGTCAGATAGTGGTGAAATGTACTACTGTTTTATACATTCGAAGATTGAATATGCATCGGTTGTTTGGAACCCTGTTAGGGGCAAGGTTTTGATAAGCAGGGTTCATGCAAAAGATAAAGTACTTGCCACTAACCCTCCCAGCTGCTCAGTTAGGGTGTGGGTACGGTTCATGTATTTTTGAATTATATGAGTAACAGTATATAATGAAGGGGTAAATTTTCCGGTGCGCCACTGATTTTTCGCTAGCCAAAATCAGAAACCACCCTGATGAAAGGGATAAACCACTGCTATCGGTAGAGTCAACAATTTACAAATATCTGGTAAAATTTTCAAGTACCCTGGGGTTGATTAATGAAGAAATAATAGTCATACACCTTGAAACTATCTATTCAAATCATATGATAACACCATATCTATATTTATGTAAGTGAAATGGCATTCAAGAGAGCATTCAGATTTCAGATATATAGTTTTGTACATTGAATTGATGCAAATATAGGGAAGGTCCTAAGAAGGGCTATTCATGTGACGTCACGGGGATAGCTTACAACTTAATATTGAATGTTAAATTTATACAGGTGTATGGGGCATTCCCTTAGGTTTTATGGTGTGACAGACTTATCTGAATGCTCAGTGGAGCTCCTATGGCGTTACTTATGATTGAATCCCTCTTCTCTCTGGTCAAGGCAATCAGGCCTCAACTGGCAGACTGCTCGTTGTCGAAGACACAGCAAAAACTGCAGGTATTCTTGTTAACCAATGTAGTGTAGATGTATATGATATATACCAGCACGAGTCTATGGTCCAGACATACAATGACCAGGGACTAGGGTGAACAGTAGTACTATAGTACTAATAGTGGGATGAAGCCTATGCCTAGGGCAAGAACTAGGAGTAGGACTAGAATTAAGACTAGGACTAGGAGTAGGACCCTAAAAATAAACAATACTAGTCTGAGTTCACTTCAATTGATTGCATAATGATCATGCTGACTGACAAAGATAATACCAACCTCTTTTGTAGCTGAGGGTTATTTTAACAATCCCGATGTTGTGAATTGTCTGTGTCAGTTATTTCCACAATGGTACTTGTTGAATATACAAGACAGGAGCTCTGAAGTTATAAAAAGAAACTTACAAGTCTGAAAATGTTAACCTCAAAAAAAAACTTACTTTGGCTTTATATCCTGCAGAGCAGAAAATATGATTTCATTCAAAATACAAACATCCAATATTGGTCCAATACGTAATGAATCATATAATGTTGAAATTCTCCAAATCCATACAGAGATGATCGAATAATTCGATGGAGATATTTCAATCGGCCATACACTCCCACAAGTACCAAGGAAGAATCAAAAGTGAAAAATTGAAATGTCAGTCAGATATCAAAAATATGAAATGTCACTGCTGTCAATTGCATCGATTTATAGTGATTTATACGCGAAACTGATTCCTTAGATCATACAGGAATCTGAGAATAGTTCTGTGACATATTAAACTTAAATGAACGACAGTATTTTCGTGATGACTGATGGCTGGCGCTGAATAATTTATAAGGATGGTGCGAGCAGATTCCAAGTGTAAAATCATCCATGAAACTTTTTATCGTGAGTTCGGATCCTACACTCAGTTAAAGTTTATAACAACTAGGGTCCCTTGATGGAAATTGACGTTAAAGTCATCTTAACAGGGTACGGACAGATCATAGCTGCATTCTTTTTTAATGATCTAGAGACTTTGGTTTTGTCTACTGGCATCCCTGACATTGATGTCACGTCACATCCATGGGCGCTACAGAAAATCATTCAAAATTTAAATAATAGGTATGTACAGGGTATTAACTTGTTGAGGAAGATCATATGGCGAACGAGTTTTGTAATTGTGATCCGATTCTATTCAAAATTGGAAGGTATCTGGGGTTTTCTGGGGTTGGAGATAATGATTGTTTCGTCAAACTTGGGAAATTCGAGATAGTGGATCCAATATATGGCTAACGAGTTTTGTAATGAAGATCCGATTCTATCAAAATTGGTATCTGGGGGTTCTCGGGGTAGGAGATAATAGAGAGTTGAAGTGTTGTCATGAACGTTAACGTAAACGTAGAAATTGACAGCTACACATGCGCATTTTCCAATTCTTCACGTTTGCGTTGTTAGTGGGCTTACACGTTATCTCACGTTCCTTCACGTATACCTTAAATATCAACGTACGTCAACCAAACTATACTCGAAATATGCCGATGAGTCAAAATTATCAAATTCGAGATCACCAACGAGTTCTGCATCAAGGAGTCCTCTAATTTTGACAGGAATAAATCTTCGAATCTAATCACACAACCAAAAATGACCAATACAAACCGAAAACAAAATGTATTATTACGTTATGATGACAGTTGACAGTGACGACCAAAGTGGCGACTTCAACTCAATTTAACGACAATACGTAAACGTTATTTTTCGTACGTTAACGTCTACGTGGAGGTCTACGTACAGTGATTACTTCAACTCTCTAATGATTGTTTTGTTAAAATTTGAAAATTCAAGATGACGGATCCAATATGGCGAAATACATTAGTTTATATAACTATTACTCTACCATAAATATAAAATATGTAGGATGCAAGAGTGAAAATAACGTACCTATAAGTTATACTGCGTATACCCACTTCTTTGTTACTTTCATCAATAAATTATTCGAAAATAACTTTATTTAAGGGAGACGAAAAAATCATATGTATAACATGGGGGTAAAGTATATTCTATTCTTTATTTTCATGCACATTTTACGTATTACTTTTTATCAGCCTACTTTCCGTCCCAGACGAAGTTTTATACATAGTGTGATATTATAGTCACTCCATAAATTCTTCTCCGAATTGAATTTCCGAAAATATATTTAGCACACATGACATGAGTACAGTATTTCAGATACCCCCACATCGAGGTTTCCACCATTTCTCAATCATAACGCTCAGCTCATAGATAAACTTCTGCTCAGCTTAAAATCAGAATTCATTTAGTCAATTCAGTCAACCCTGGTATACAGTCTGAGAACAGTCTCATTTGGTGAAATATATTGAGCTTTCAATACAATTTATATGTTCCCTACCTCGCGAAGATTATGCTGGAGTAGTAAACTCTAGAACTAGAGGATTGTTCATCTATATCTTGGTATAGTTGAATCAGGAATTCCATATGGGAATTACGTATGATACGCCAGTGACCTCAAGATAACCTAGAAAACAACGAATGTCAAAAATCTAGTGTTTATCCCCAGAATTGAATAAGGATGGAACTATATAACTGTTTCACAAACACTTTAGAGTGAGAGGAGACGAGGATCTGTCCGTACCCTGTTAAGATGACTTTAACGTCAATTTCCATCAAGGGACCCTAATAACAACCACTAAGGCATTTACTCAGATCTCGAACTAAACTGATATTCATCCGGAATAAATACTCGACAAACAAAATCTGATCAGTGCTTACACCATCCGGATAAACATTTGATGAACAACTATTCGTGTTGCTGCTGAGGAAAAAGTTACGGTTTCACAACTGCTTGCAGACATTGGTGTTCTCAAGACGAACTATCGCTGACGTATTATGGACCCATCTCGGGTCAGAAAGAAAGTATCTGTACGAAGAAAATATCTCACGTTATCTGTCAACTCTGTCATTGAATATTGATTTATAATTGTCAGAAATCGATTGTCAATTGATTTAATCATTGAAATAAAAATAAAGTAAACAATGATGGATCATTATATTTAAATGATATCTTACTGAGCACATAATATAATGTATGCGAAATTGTTTGAAATAAAGGTGAGTACAGTGAGGCGAAATACTGAAAGATAGTTCATAATACAGCATAACATGAAGTTATCATATAGCACAGTGAACATGATACCGAGTGTGACATCGATCTGATACTTAAGAACACGAAATTCAATGATTCCAGAATAATAATAACGGAGAATTCGTAGTGCAAAATAAAACCGTAACAAATCCCCCCTCCACTCCGGGAGGCATTAAAGTTCCATGGACTTTAATGATGATAAGAAATTCCAAATGCAAACACGAAAACT